CGTGGAGTCCGTCCTCCAGCAGGATGGACACCGTGACGGTGGCGGACTGAGGCGGTTCTCCGTCGTCCTTGATCTCTATGAGCAGCCTCTGAGAGGACTCGTCCTGCTCGGACACAGCGCGTTTAGTCCTCACCTCCCCTGTGTACTGATTGACAGTGAACAGAGAGGCGTCTGTGGCCTCCGACACTCTGTAGGAGATCCAGGCGTTATGGCCCGAGTCAGCGTCCACGGCCGTCACCTTGGTAACCAGGTGACCCGCTTTAGCGGAGCGGGGCATCCTCTGATGAGAGAGGGAGCCCAGGGCGGCGGAGGACGGGTAAATAACCGCGGGGGCGTTATCGTTCTGGTCCAGGATAAAAACATGGACAGTGGCGTTGCTGCTGAGACTCGGAGAGCCCTGGTCCTTTGCCTGGACCTGGATCTGAAACACCTTCAGCTTCTCATAGTCAAACGAGTGCATGCTGTAGATGCTGCCGTTCTCTGAGTTCATGTAAACATAAGATGAGACAGAAACGTCCTGAAYTTTAGAGTCCAGAATAGAGTAAGAGATCTTTGCRTTTTCACCAGAATCCAGATCAGAGGCTGAAACTGAGAACAGAATAGACCCTGGTACCCCGTTCTCTTTCAGATACACATTATAGGAGGGCTGAGTGAATACAGGAGCATTGTCATTCACATCAGTGATAGTTACTAAAACGTTTTTTCTGCTGGACAGAGGTGGGGAGCCTGAATCGGTTGCTGTTATTTCAACATTATATTCAGACACATTCTCACGGTCTAACACACCATTATTAACCAGTGCGTAATTCTGAGAAAATGATGGTTTTAATGAAAAAATCGATTTTTCAGGGAGCTTTAAGGTCACTTTTCCATTATCACCCGAATCTAGATCTCTGGCACTAATTAAAGCTACTACTGTGCCATTTGGTGAATCTTCTCTTACTGGCTTTGGACGAGAAGTGATTACTATTTCCGGCGCATTATCGTTCACATCTAAAACTTCCACGTGCACAGTACAGTGCCCCTCCATTCTTGGAGTGCCTTTATCTTTCGCGCTTATTACTAATTCATAATTGGAGGTTGTTTCAAAATCTAATTTTTCTTTAAGAAATATTGTTCCTGATATTGGATCGATGGCAAAAAGAGACATAACCGCYTCTGAGGTGTGCGCTCCAAACGAGTATTCAATCTCCCCGTTCAGACCATCATCTACATCCGAYGCTTTTGTCTGGATTATAGTTGATCCTTCCACAGTGTTTTCGGCTACAGAGATTTTATACAAGTTTTTTTCAAAAACAGGGACGTTATCATTGTTATCAAGAACTTTWATAGTTATTTGCGCCGTCCCAGACTTTACTGGGTTTCCTCCATCCAGAGCTGTCAAAAGAAGCTTGTGGACAGCCTTTTTCTCTCTGTCTAATAATTTTGATAATATCAATTCAGGGACTTTTCTTCCTCCTGCAACCTCTTTAACTCTTACACTGAAACATTCGTCTTTACTGAGACTGTACGACTTCAGTGAATTACTGCCAACATCCGGGTCTATGGCGCTTTCAAGTAGAAATCGAACTCCAATTGCTGTGGATTCTGCGATGTCTAATGCAATGTCTTTTGATGGGAACGTGGGTGAATTATCATTAATATCTAAAATTTCCACTTCAACACGAAAAAGCTGTAAGGGATCTTCAATGAGGATCTGCAGAGGCAGAACGCAGCTGGCGCTTTGTCCACATAAAGCCTCTCTGTCTATCCTGTCATTCACCAGCAGCTCGCCCTTCCCCGCATCCACGCTGAAATACTGCTTCCCAGCTACAGAAGCCACGTTCAGTTTACGGTCATATATTTCTGAAATCCCCAAACCCAGATCTTTTGCAAGATTTCCTACCACCGAACCCTGTTTCAGCTCCTCCTGTATGCTGTAACGAGTCTGTCCGTCTATTGTACTCCACAGGAGAAAGAACTGATGCCACCAGAGCGCGAGCCGTCTCCAGTCTCCGTATCCTTTTGTCTTTGTCATCCTTGGTCCGCTATAACGCATCAAATCCAATAGAAACCAAAACAAAATGTTACATCCATCTTCTCATGCGTTTTTCTCCACATATCGTCTTCACAAATGGCAGTGCATGAAAGACAACCGAGATTTAAAATCTTCATGTTGCAAAATAAATCTCATTGCTTCCCTCCTGCTCTGACTCGTATTGTGCGAATTAGAGTACCCGGACTGGAAGGGGGCAGGGACTAGATTGCTTTGTACAATTCTGCATCCTATTGGTGCAGAGTGTCTAAACCTGCTGTCCAATGAAGAGGGGATGGATCCACGCTCTTAAAGCTGCAGCAGCAGCAACACATACACATTTTGCTACAGCTGTTTTTTATCTCATTTGTTTTACTTTTTATTTTCAACGTTAAGATATCAGTGATTATAATAAAGAATACAAAATAAGAAAGAAAGAAAGAAAGAAAGAACGAAAGAAAGAAAGAAAGAAAGAAAGAAAGAAAGAAAGAAAGA